ATCAACTTTTTAAACTTAAAGAATTTATAACTCTTTGCAGTTTCTGTGGTGGGAAGGTGAAAGGTGATCTTTTAGAAAGGACAGTTAAATGCCATGAATGGAAGAACTGTTAGGGAATCCAGTCTTTTCAACCATAGAGGAACATGTAGACTTGGATTGTGCTTCCCTCTACCCAGTGATGTCACTGCCTCCTACAAGCTCAAGACCAGGTCATTTCACTAATGTGAAGGTAGTGGAGGCCCAAGCAAGCATGATTAAAATTGCACAGGAAAGCTAGGTGTCATTAACAGGTAACTGCAGGAAGGGGCAGGGTGGGGAGAGAACTTTATTCAGTGGTGACTATAACAGGACAAGAGTCAGGAGACAATGTCCCTGGTCAGATGACACCATGGATGCCCCAAGATCTCTCATTTAACGATGGATGTTTTGGTTTCCACACTATAAATAGTATTTTTGACTGCATATTTTTAAGGAGTGTCTGGGAACCGGTACTATGACAGCATAAGATGATAACACCAAATTCCTTAGAAAAGGCTATACCACAAAACCCATGAATCCAATACTTTATGTGGTGCTTAACATGCCCAACAAATGGTTGTAATTCGTTGTAATAATCTTGACCACACCAATCACCATCATCATAGAAGACTCCATTTGAAACTCTAGAGAAATACCAGGTCTTCATATCACAAAGTCTAAAGTATGTGTAAAGAGTTTTTATTTCTGCTTCTTCCTATCCCCAAATCTAAACAGACAAACAAACAAACAAACAAACAAAAGTCACACTTCTCAGTCATTTCTGATGGAAACCACTTTACTAGAGCTAAGCCTCTCAAATTCACATTTCAGTCCTGGAATCTCACTTTCGCATTGTAATTTAAATAGATTGTGAATTGTAGTTTTCTTAATGGAAAACATAGAGTCTGGATGGCCCTTTTTAGTTGGAGGATGCATCTTGAAATTGGTACCAGGGCAGTATATTCTTGGGGGCCCAGCTCTCTCCTCCTTTTTCCCTTCTGACTTCCCCTAGGGGTTGCAAAGTTTGGTCAGACAACCTGCTCTTGGTTTAACTTGTAACTTTCAGCGCTCTTCTTGGCTTATCTATGGTTTAGGAAGCATCTCTGAGTATGAGTCTTTGCATAGCACTGTCTTTCGATTATTGTCCCGATCTAGGTGTAGAACCACCAGGTGGAACTCCAGAGACTCTCACCTTAGCACAAATTCTAACTCAGTCAGTGCCATTCTCATCCAGTGGCAGTCTTTTCCAGTGACAGTCTTTTCCCCCTGTTATCCTGGGTGTTACTGAAAGAGGCTTTATGGCAAATATATAATATAACATGTTCAAAACTCTTCCATTGCTTTTTTCTTGCCATTCTCATTTCGACTAATTTAAAAGAGATGCCTCAAGCCCACTCGTCTGTTGCTTTGGGCTCTTGTTTCTAAAGCACACCAATTCTTTCCATGGACAACTCTGGTTGCTTTCATCCAAGGAGGTCTAAAAGGCCTCCTTTAAATGAAAAAAGGTTGCTGAACCCTGATTTAAATATCCTGGGCCCCGAGGCAGTTAATCATTAGCAGAATGTCTCAGTAAACTTTATTGTCTTTGAGTTTCAAATAAGTAAGTTGGGTGTGGAGCAATTTTCTTGAGCAGAAAGCTGAAATGATCCGAGATCTCTGGAGCCAACTATGTTCCTGGCATTGCTATAAAAGGAGAGAGCTTCTAGCTACAGAAGACTATTCCATACCCTACCACAGTCCCAGACACAAAAGTGGGCAAACCTGGTAAAGACGCACTTTCCTGTTGCACCTGTAGAAAGTTCATTTTGAAATCATTCAATTGGGAAGAAGGCTAGTTCTTGACATACTACTTGTTAATTTTGCTCACAAGCCTCAAAAGACACTGCCTATAGAGCAGTCATTTTATGACCTCACACACAGGGCCCTCCCCTTCCTCTCGGCAGTAGCCCATGGGCACACCATTGTACTCACAGTGGCCTGTTATTTGTCAAGAGGCTGGAGCCCGAGGTGGCACTGTAATGATTTAGCCCTCTGAGGATCATTTATTAAGTAGCTGTGGATTGGTGAGATTCCCTACAGACTAGATAATAGTTGGCTACATTGGCCGTGGGCTCTAAAACCCAAGGCAGAAGGAGATCAATTCCAAAACCAGGAAGTCCATTTGATTGTGGGAAGGGTCTTGGTATCCAATGGCTCATAACTAACCTTTTTTTCTCCAAGTTCCATGGAATAGAAGGCCACAGAAATCCAGTGTAGACCCAAGGTGGTTTCAGAGTCACTAGCAACCCTAGTCAAACGGACAACTTTGCAGATACAAAATAGACTGAGGTTCTTACTCAGAGGCAAAGTCTAAATCTAATTCTCTAAAATAACACATGGAAGAAAAAGAGATCTTTTGTTCATTTTTCTTCCTTTTTTTTTTTTTTTAATCAAAGTCTCCAATGGAAAGTTTTTGAATGTGTTTTTTTTTTTTTTTTTTTTTTGACACGGAGTCTCGCTGTGTCACCCAGGCTGGAGTGCAGTGGCCCGATCTCGGCTCACTGCAAGCTCCGCCTCCCGGGTTTACACCATTCTCCTGCCTCAGCCTCCGAGTAGCTGGGACTACAGGCGCCCGCCACCACACCCGGCTAGTTTTTTTTTTTTTTTTTTTTTGTATTTTTAGTAGAGACGGGGTTTCACCATGTTAGCCAGGATGGTCTCGATCTCCTGACTTCGTGATCCACCTGCCTCGGCCTCCCAAAGTACTGGGATTACAGGCTTGAGCCACCGCGCCCAGCCTTGATATGTTTTTTAAACATCTTTTGAATGATTTTTTTCCAGAGGGAATGAAATCATGGGAGACACTAACTTTGCATCTTCTGACTCACTCTGGTTTTACCTAAATATATCAAGAATGGACTAGGATTCCAGGTTCAAGATAAAAAGAATGGTGCGCCAGAATTCTACAGCCATTGAAAGGTTGGATCTCGACATACTCTCTTCTGTTTGTCTTCCAAGCCATTCTCTACTAGAAAGCAAGATGGCGGCATTGATGGCTGCCTCTCTGAAGCAGGTGTTGAACGTGCATCTTCGAAATCTAGTTGCTGGTACAGGAAGCGGCAGTTTTAGCTCAAGGAAGGGATATTCTTGGAACAACCTGTTTTCCCAGCTGTTCTTTCCCATTCCTTGATTTACTCTATGTTTGGGAGTTTAAAAAGTGCCTCTTTTATGAGGATCATTTATTTCTCCCAAGGATCCAGTATTATGTCAGTTTGGTGTGGTAATGGAAAAACCATAAAATGCCTGAGAATTTACAGTGCCACTTTAGTTTTTGCAGTACAGCTCAATGACCTCTAGGTGGTGGTAAAGGTTTCAATCAGTTTTCATGAATGGAATGAACAGCTAGTCCTCAAGTTGCTCTGTAGGATTTTAAAGAGTTAATTGACAAGACAAATAAGGTTAACTAATTTTCTTGTGGCTTCAGTATTACTTTTTGTTCCCGATTCCCAGTATATGGCTTGTATATAACAAGGAGCTCTAAAAGTCAAGCACGAGATTGAAAGCATGGCTCAGGAAATGGTTATTTTAGTTTAGATAGCTCTTGAAGTTTAGCCGGGTGCCTGTAATCCCAACACTTTGGCAAGCCAAGGCGGAGGAATGACTCAAGGTCAGGAGTTAGAGACCAGCCTGGCTAACACAGTGAAACCCCGTCTCTACTAAAAACAGGAAAATTAGCCTGGTGTGGTGGTGCACGCCTGTAATCCCGGCTACTAGGGAGGCTGAGGCAGGAGAATCGTTTGAGCCCAGGAGGCAGAGGTTGCATTGAGCCAAGATGGCACCATTGCACTCCTGCCTGGGGGACAACAGACAGACTTCGTCTCAAAAAAGAAAGAAAAGAAAAAACAGAAGTTTTAGGGCAACACACTTCAAAGGAGATTCAAACATCTCTGAGTTTTAATTTGTTTACAGTGAACAAAATATAATTTCTTGTTTTAATGGAAAGGTATTTGGTCATGAACTCCCATTAACCAGGCATCAGTTTGAAGACTAAAGGAAAGAAACATATGGATTAGATTTCCTACAGAAAACCTTTTTTTCCTTTTCTTTTTTTAATTTAACAGGAAAAACATGCTTGGAAAGAATCTCTTGGGCTCAAAAAATAAGTTTTGCAAAAAAACGGGTGCCAGTAGGTACTTCACAAACACTTGTGTTCCAATGTGTTCTTAAACTTTAACTTAGAAAAGGAGCGGACATAAGAAACCTTGTCTTTCTGGAGGTCAGCCTCTTCTACAGCGTCAATTCCCAGATCCAAGCCCTAGAGACATTGTGAAGATCTACAGATTATTTTTCACATTCACCTCCTACTTTGGTGCGTTGAGTAAGGAGACTCCGAATAACACTTTTCAGTAAGTCTTGAACTATCTGCTGCAGGGGTCTTGGCCCAGGAATGCCCCACACTTTGACTGCCAGGTTTAGCCTGCTATTTTGATTTGTTGACTTATTTAGGCAACAGCAATATGTACAGTAATGTGCCACAAAACAGTGATTCAGTCAGTGATGGACCATGTTTGCAACAGTAGTCTCATTGTTAGTGAACAGGTTTGTTCTGCCTGAATGCTACAAGCCAATCAATGTGCCCACGTTGAGAGGTGAAGCCAGCTGGACTTCCTGGGTTGAGTGGGGAATTGGAGAACTTTTCTATCTTACAAGAGGATTGTAGATCGCACCAATCCGCACTCTGTAGCTAGGATTGTAAAATGCACCAATCAGCACTCTGTAGCTAGCAAGGGGGTTGTGAAATGGACCAATTAGCACTCTGTAAAATGCACCAATCAGCATTCTCTAAAACGCACCAATCATCAGGAGTCTAAAAGTAGCCAATCGTGGGGGGGATTGAAAAAAGGGCACTCTGATAGGACAGAAATGGAACATGGGCGGGGACAAATAAGGAAATAAATGCTGCCCCCTCCACCCCACCCCTGCCCCCCAGCCAGCGGCAGCAATCCGAGGAAGCTTTGTTTTCTCCTTCTTAACAATAAATGTTGCTGCTGCTCACTTTTTGGGCAGTTATTTCAGAGGTGTAACACTCTCCTTGAAAGTCTGAGGCTTCATTCTTGAAGTCAGCGAGACCCTGAACCAACAGGCAGGAATAAACTCTGGACACAACGGGTTTCTGCGAAAGAGAAAAGACGTTATTCATAAGGCTGCTGTGCGAGGAGGTGGGAGGACGAGTCTCAACTCTGCCTCCCTAAAACGGTCTTAAGGATACTTACGGGATGGAAAGTAAGGTGTGCGGAAAGGCGAGTGGTGAGTAGGAAAGGTGATGCAATCAGGATTTCTGCCCAAGCGAAATCAGGCTGCATGGTTCATTATAGGAGCCATGTGCAGAAAAAGATGGCGTTATCATGATGTAAGGGTGGAAATTTTGGCCCTCTGATGTCAAGAGGTCACCCACCGGCACGGGTCCAGTTGAGGAGTTGGTGGTCTCTATAGACTTGAATTGGACAAGAGGTGCTGCTTTGAGCAACTGTTACTACAGTGACTCACGGTCAGAGCTGTGTTATCTGCAAGGAAGCCAGTGGGAATTTTAAGGTCAGTTAGAAGTAAGCAATTAAAAGCAGGCAAGCAGGTTCAATTTGGTGAGCTTAATCAGGTTAGCCTTCTGTTTAACCGTAAAATTATAGTAAAGTATTTTTGCAGTACCTTTTCTATGTTTCTTTATTTTTGTGAGTTGGGGTCTGGCTCTGTCACCCAGGCTGGAGTGCAGTGGTGAGACCACGGCTCACTGCAGCCTCAACCTCCCAGGCTCAACCATTCCTCCCACCTCAGCCTCTTAAGTAGCTGGGACCATAGGCACGTGTTACCAGGCCTGGCTAATTTTTATTTTTATTTTGTAGAGACGAGGTCTTACTATATTGGTAGGGCTGGTCTTAAATTCCTTGCGTCAAACATGCCTCCTACGTCTGCCTCCCAAAAGGCTGGGATGACAGGCATGAGTGATCGCCTGACCACCTTTTCTACGTTTGGATAGGTTTCAATGCACAAATACCAATGTGTTGCAATTGCTTACAGTATTCAGTACAGCGGCAAACTATACAGGTTTGTAGCCTGGGAGCAGTAGGCTCTACCGTGTAGCCTAGGTGTGTGGTAGGCTGTACCATCTAGATTTGCATAAAGAAATTGCCTAATGACACATTTCTCAGAAAATATCCCTGTTTTTAACTGACACATGACTGTATTCATTTTAGCCAGCGTTATTCTAAAAAACAACAGACGTAGCCAGATTGTTTGCATGGCAAGCTATAATTGCTACTAGAATGGCCAACTTGAAAAAGTCATTCCACAGATGTTTGTTAATCACCTATTATGTGCAAGGTAGTCTGCTGAGATATGTTACCTGGGCTGCTGTTTTCTGCAAATAGACAACAACTCTTTGAAATTTTATCTCTTACTCCCAAACACTCTTCTGCCTCCATAATTTCAGTTTTTTAACTACAGCTGCTCACTATTTGGTAAGCGGCAGCTAAAATAGTTTCATCTTTAACATCGACATTACTTTCCCATTTAGCCTTTAATGTGATCTTGTGTGCTGTTTGTTTGTGTATTAATATTTGTGACTGTGTGTGTTATACTCAGAAACTGCCTTGCCTTTCTTCAACTCTGTACCCTTGCAGGGGAGGCCCTTAGAACCCCCTTGCTCTTTGAATTGTGTGCTCTTTAAATTTTGAAGATGGAAATGGAAGACTTAGGGTCGTAGTGCCTACGAAGCACTTTCTCTTTCTCATATGTTGTTTCATTTGTTGTCACAGCAAAGCAAATAACTTCAATGAAAAGATCACAAACTTTGGAATCAGCAGACTACAGCTGGAATCCTGATTATGCTACCTTACTAACATGTTCGTCTTGGCCAAGTTATTTATGGATGTAAGATTCCTCGGCTGAAAATGGGTTCCTCATAACAGCCCAGTTTCAGGTTGCTTGTGAAGGGCCCGGTGAGGCACCATTTATCAGTGCTTAGGAGGCATTTCATTTTGTTCTGACTCCTTTTTTCTGATGAGGAAAAGTGGAGAACATGAAATAGCACAATATGTCTGTTTCGTAAAACTTGTCTACAGCTCTAATGAGACTACATAAACTAAATGGGTATATTTCAACCATTTTGAATCAACTTTATTGCTACTGGAGATAAATTTAGGTTAATTCTGGTTTCCTGTAGTTGCCTGAGGGAGTGTAACTTCACATATCCACGGTGTAAAATGACTTATTCTCAAAAGATGTTTGGCTGTGTCCTTCGAACAGATGAACTAACGTATGTTTTCTCCAGAGAAAACCAGATACAGATACTCTGATTCAACCTATAAGATTTAGATGTTGCCATTTACTATATAAAATATGCATTGGCCTAGGAAAACTAACTGAAAGCTTATTAAATTGTCTTAAAAGTGCCAATAATATTTCCACCAGAGTATTTTTTCTTTCTCAAGCATCTGTACTTTTGAAGGTCTCCAAGGAGATAGACATGAGTATGAAATCACCCCCCTAGCATGGGCTGTGGGGTGGGGAATTGGGAGATGTTGATCAAAGAGTACAAAGATCCAGTTACAAAGGAGGAATATGTTTTCGGGATATATGGTACAGCATGGTGACCGCAGTTATGATAATGTATTGTATATTTCAAAATTGCTAAAAGAATGTATTTGAAATGTTTTCACTACATAAAAAATGACAAGTATGTGAAGAATGGTAATTGGCTTGATATCATCATTCTACAGTGTGTACATATATCAAAGCTTCATCTTGTACCCCATAGATATATACAATTATTATTTGTCAATTAAAAATAAAAATTTTAAAAAGGAATTAGCAAATGCTGCAAAAATGGCCAACATAGAGGGCATTTACCTTTGGGGTGCTCCTGTCTTACCTTTTATACCTTTCTCTTTGCTCTTACATTCTCCAGTCCCTTCTTGCCATCCATTAGTTCCCTGATCCCCTATTCTAAAAATCCCTGTAGACCCAGGGATTGCTCAACCTACAGGGCTATATCATTAGCCTTTTCCCCTGACAAAACCTGTTATTTCATTTTGACTCTGCCACAGTTGGGAAAGCAATGGCAGACTTAATTCATCTTATTGACTCATAAGCAATTTATTATTCTTTGGGGGTGGGAGAAGAAAGGAAAGGCTGGGATATAACATTCTTTTTTAAAAATTTAATTTAATTTTCTTTAAGTTCTGGGATACATGTACAGAACATGCAGGTTTGTTACAGAGGTGTACATGTGCCATGGTGGTTTGCTGCACCTATCAACCCATCATCTAGGTTTTAAGCCTTGCATGCATTAGGTGTTTGTCCTAATGTTCTCTCTTCTCTTGCCATACACCCCCTGACAGGCCCTGGTGTGTCATGTTTCCCTCCCTGTGTCCACGTGTTCTCATTGTTCAACTCCCACTTATGAGTGAGAACATGCAGCATTTGGTTTTCTGTTCCTGTGTTAGTTTGCTGTGAATGATGGCTTTCAGATTCATCCATGTCCCTGCGAAGGACATGAACTCGTTTTTTTTTTTTGTGACTGCATAGTATTCTATAGTGTATATGTCACATTTTCTTTATCCAGTCTATCACTGATGGGCATTTGGATTGGTTCCAAGTCTTTGCTATTGTAAACAGTGCTGAAGTAAACATATGCATGCATGTGTCTTTATAGTAGAATGATTTATAATCCTTTGCGTATATACCCAGTTACGGGATTGCTGGGTTAAATGGTATTTCTGGTTCTGGGATCTAACATTCTTAATGTAGGCCGGTTGTGCTACCTTATTTTATCCTGACAACTATATTAACCCATTCTCACACTGCTATGAAGTACTACCTGTGACTGGGTAATTTACAAAGAAAAGAGGTTTAATTGGCTCATGGTTCTGCAGGCTGTACAGGAAGCATGTCTGGAGAGGCTTCAGGAAACTTACAATCATGGCAGGAGGCGAAGGAGGAAGGAGGCATGTCTTACAAGGCCGGAGCAGGGGAAGGAGTAAAGGGGGAGGTGCTATGCACTTTTAAAACAACCAGTGCTCATGAGAACTCACTATCATGAGAACAGCAAGGGGGATGCCTACCATCATGTGGGGAGACTCCCAAACACCTCCCAACAGGCCCCTTCTCCAACATTGGGGATTACAATTCAACATGAGATTTGGACAGGGATGCAAATCCAACCTTTATCCACAACTATATGAAGTATATATATATTATTTTCCTTATTACAGATGAGAAACCTGATACTTTGAGAAGTAAAGTTGCCTAAATAAAGTCATAAATTGCAGAAGTAATTGATTTCAGGTCTTGAAGACCCCAGCGCATGTAGGCTGTCTGCAGGTGTACTAACAAAGGGATTTACATTCACCTGAAGACACAGCCTGGGCCACAGAGGTCAAAGAATCCCCAGCACAATGGCAGGCCGTGACGAGGATCTTACTCCTTATAGAGCCAGCTCCAGATCTTAGTAGACAGTCCCCCACACCCCATTTTAATTCAAGATATGTCCTTTGTTTTAGAAATGACACAATAGGGGCAGGTTCCTTGACCTGCTATTGTTTTTCTTTGACTAACCAAGAATCTTTAATCCATGGGCAACCCAGTGGGAGCACCCAAAACAGAGTAGAGACATGGGATGTTGCGAATGGTGGTGAGGAAAGAGCAAAGTCCCCTGCAGTGCAGCACAGAGGCCTCAGCCTGCTTTGCAGTGGGCGTAACACAAGGCTCTGAGGTGCTCCCAGAGAAGCCGCTCTTCCAGTTGCTACTGAAGGGTGTCAATGGCCAGACCTAGCTTAAGAAGAAAGAAAACAATAACTCTAGGCCAGTGTGGTGCCTCACGCCTGTAATCCCAGTACTTTCGGAGGTCAAGGCGGGTGGATTGCTTGAGGTCAGGAGTTTGAGACCAGACTGGCCAACATGGCAAGATCCTGTCTCTACCAAAAATACAAAAATTAGCCAGGCATGTTGGCCACACTTATAATCCTAGCTACTCTGGAGGCTGGGACATGAGAATTGTTTGAACCTGGGAGGCAGAGGTTGCAGTGAGCTGAGATCGCCCCACTGCACTCCAGCCTGGGTGACAGAGCGAGACTGTCTCCAAACAAACGGACAGACAGAGTTTTAGAAAAATGAACTGATAATGGGTTCATAATGGGATAGGGAAAATGAGAGTGTTTGGAAAACAGTACGAATTTTTTGTGGTCAATTTTTGAGTGTAGACCATGAATCTGAACCAAATCCCAGAGTGAGAAACCCTCGGCCTATCTTTCTCC